CCTGAAATTTAGAGAATTATATAGCTGGAAATCAGAAAAACCTGGATTCAAATTCTGCTTGTGATATAACAATTAGTTCTGTGATCTTGATTAAATAACTCAAATTCTTTATAAGTCTTTGACATGGAGGTCATAATACCTCTTTCACAGGGCTTTTGAGGGAATTAAATGATACAATATCCTTGCAGCATTCAGTACAGTGTCTGCACAAAATTAACTCTCAACAAATGTTTGCTTGATAGTAAATCTGCTGACGCTGATGAGATGATCAACGTCTACACTGAATCCTGAAATGAGCCCCATCTTTTCTATGTCCACCATGCACGTGGACTTGCTGGTATGAGACCATGAGTGCCAGGTCCTCGCAGCCTCTGCAAGGGGAACTGGTTCTGTCTAAGATGCCACAACTTCATGCTTCCTGTCTCAAGGAGGCTTCAAGAACACCGTGAAACCAGCAAACGATACTCAAGAAGAGAAGCAAAAATATTAAGAAGATGAGGCTAATGATTTGTAGGGAGAGATGAGAGGCCTCCAACAGGGAAGGATGAGGTTCTTCTTTTAATTCTAGTCTGTGGAAGCTTAGGGTGAGGACAGTGCTAACCAGCGTGGTCCCATTTTCATTACAGCTAATACAAAACAAAATGGGCACAAGATATTGTTTGATTAGATATAAAAACTTTTTAGCAGGAAAGAATATGAGATAACTGAACAAGTATAACATATCATCACCTGGAAATATCTATGATGGACAATGATAACGGACTACACGGTAACAATGAGTTTTTCAAAAGCAACTAGCCACAAAATTCTGTTTTTGTACAATTTTCACATTGGCTTCATTCAAATTCACTAAATATATTCAAAATTTTACTGCTTTTCTAAACAGTGATGTCTCTCCATTAAAAAAAAAAAAAACAAAAAAAAGCATTCACACACACAAACAGTACCAATGACGACAAGAAAAAAACCCCAGAAAGTGAAAGGAAAATTAAGGGAAATTCAGCTGTAGTCCCTCATCCTGATTTCCTTTCTGGCATGAGCCACACTCGGTTTTGCTAGTTTTCATTCACCGGACGGCTCTCTCCCCAGCTGACTGGAGGGGTGGCCCTAGTGGAGCGGAGGGACGGGCGTGGGAGGTGGAGAGACTCTGCTTGACTCCAAAGCTCTTCTCATGAAGAATGGCCCACCTGACTCCAGCAGCTCTCCCACGCCCACGTCACCAGGAGGACCACCATATCTGAAAAATACCGCCGCACCATGTACTTAATTGGTGCTTGTCTGGACTGGGAAGAAGCCCAGGTTTGCTGGTTCCTGATGTACGACATGGCAGTGTTCTGGTTGTTGCTTTAACAAATGAGCCCACTGGCACAAAATCACCTTGAAAGGCCTCACAAAGCCTTCATTGATTAGAAGCCCAGTTCCACATAGCTCAGAGATGGGCACAACAGGAATGGTGGTAGCTGGCAGGAGGAGACTGGTATGGGGTGGGGTTTCTTGAAGACATAAAAAGTGGAGCTTATTTGGGACCACTAGCTGAAGGCATTAGAAACAGAAAATATTTTTTATTCTTCTTTTCTTTTCTGAAGAGCACGTGGTAAGACCTAACATGTACTGGACACGTATACACCCAAAGAGATAGACACCATTATTATTCCTGTTTTCCAGATGAGGAAACCAAAGCTCAAAGAATAAATATAGAATAGCAGTAATCTACTGCATTGGATAAGAACTTGGACTTCGAAGCAGCTGGGTTTGAATTCAGGCTCCACTGTCTATTAGCTTTGTGATCCCGGTGAGGCCCTGAGCTTCGGTTCTCACCCCAACTAAACTGTAAAACATGTGAAAGTAGGGACTGTGCCTGTTTTCTTCATCACTGACAGCCCTTATTAACATTTTTTTCAGTGAATAAAGGAATAAGACCAAAATAAATCCCCAGTTGGATAGAGAGATATAAGTATTTTAAGGTAAAGTGAATGCTACAAAACAGTCTGGACAAATTTCTACCTGTCAAGCCAAGAAATAGCTTAGACTAGAGAGCACAGCATAATTACTTCTTTATAACCCATACACTCCACTTTATTCTCGTCTCTTCCCTATCACTAGAGACGTTGTAATCATTGTCCACTGAGGTAATGCAGCCTGGCTTGTGAGTCTCACAGCCTCCTCTCTGAACCCCGAAATGAGGCCTGTCTTTCCCATGTCTACTATGCACCTGGGGCTTGCTTCCTTTGTATTTAACTTTTCTGCTTTAGATCTCCATGGACATAGCTACATAAAACCACAGAACACTTCTTCCTCAGTGATCTTTCTCTAATTCTCAGAATATAGTTCTCTCTCCTTTATCTGGCCTGGCCCAAGCCCTTTAATATTCTGAGTTATTCAAACCTGAGGTAAACTTCTTTCTACCTTTTTAATATATGGATCTCAATCTCTTTTTAATTTCTCCTGACTCATCTATACTTTTATGCTCCTACTGAACAATTTCCTGTGTTTTGAAACCAATTTGTCATCTACATGACTTCAAGGAGGAAGGGTCATCAGTGATCTCATGCTAGCTAGTTGTGGGATCTTTCCATTTTTTAATAGTACTTGAAAGATCGACGAAGGGAAGCCTAATAGAGGGAGAAGAGAAATGAAGGCCTAATTAGTGACATCTATATGTGACTGAATAAAACATAGGAGACTATATTTTCAAGTGTTAAAGTATTGAAAAGGAAAATGTTTATTCCTTTATCAATATTTAGTGAGTATCTACTATGTCGCAGGCCCTGTGTTAGTTGCTGGGGATATCAAGCTAGTTCTGGCCCTTAAAGAACGATAGTCTAGAACAGGGCTTCTCAATCTTAGCACTATTGACATTCTGGGCGGGATAATTCATTGTTGTTTGGGGGAGAGGACTGTCCTTTGCAGTATGGGATGTTTAGCAGCAACCCTGGCCTCTACCCACTAGATGCCAGGAGGTATCTCACCCCCCTTCTCAGTTGTGACAACCCAAAACATCTCTAGATATTGCTAAATGTCCCCTGGGGGACAAAAGTATACCCAATTGAGAACTACTAGTTTAGGAAAAGCAGATCCTTTATATAATACACTGTGATAGGTATTATTATCAAAACTTTGAGAGTGAAGGGTGCCTTAATTCTAGGTGAAAGTGGGAGAGGATGCTACAGAAGGTTTCACAGAATAAACGACACTTTATGCTCAATATTTGAAAAGTGTTTTGTGGAAAGCCAAGCAGACAAAAAGAGAGAAACTTAGGGACATAGGAGAGGAGTAGGAGGAGAGCGAATAGAGAAAGACCATTCGGGTAGATGCAAGAGGATAAGCAAAGGCCCGGAGGGACGAGACCACAGCCTTATTTCTTATTCACCTCGAGGCAATGATAGATGGTTTGCATAGAGGAGAATGAGAAATAAGGCTGGGGCCAGATCATACCAAGTAAGAAAGGAGGTGAAATTTTAGTATAAAGAAATAAACATATATTTAAAACACAGCGGAGCCCTTTTACAAACAAAGCCTTGCTTAACCCAGTATATTAAACTGATCGATGTCAACTGCTTTAGTTGGATCACACCCCACTTAGTTTTTCCATTAGCTTCTAAGCTGGCTTCCACAGCACCCCCGTGGAATCCTGGAACGTTGGGACACATATTGGAAAAACCACAACTTTGGTCAACAGAGTACCACTTGTGGATTTTAAGTGCAGAATACATGTTCAGATTTGCTCTTCAGAAAAAGCACTCTAGTGGCAGAGCTGAGTATAGAGTTGGGACAAGGGGGGCAAGCCCAAAGGCACAGAGATCAGTTAGTATTTTATATGTGGGTTTCACTTGGAGACCAGTGCTAAGGCTGCTATACATGGCTTTGGAGTCATACAAATTTGGCTTACAATTCCACTAACTCTGACTTAGGTCATGTTTGTTGAGTTTGCCAAGCTCTATTTTCTCATTCTGTAAAATGGGGCTACCTACCTCACTTGGGCGCTGTAAGAAATTATCTGTAAACAGAGGTCAGGTGCTGACACAAATAAGCACTCAGCAAATATAGATGTGCCTCCTCTTCTTTCACTTAGTCTCTTTACGATTCAAGTTTATTAAGCCTCCTTGAACCTATGTAACTTTGAGTATGAAAAGGGAGATTTAATTGCTTACTGTTAATGGATTTTCTACTTGTAGAAGAGCTACATAATTCTTTGTAAAACAAGATTTTTTTGATCAGTCTCTTAGCAGGAGCCACGTGCTAACAGGAGAGGTCAGTATTTGGCTTCTTCTTACTTTGGGATCTGCCAGGATGTCTCGTAAGAGAGAGTTCAAAACAAGAGTGGCCAAAGCCCAAGTGCTACGTGTGTCTGTCTGGCTCAGAGACAGTGTTTCTGCCCTTCTTCAGATTAGCAAAGTCAGCATCAGTTCCATGGTTAGAAAGTCAGCAGCTAAAAACTGCACCTGTGTACAAATCTTTAAGGAGATCAAATGGTATTGGGATTACAAGGTCTGGATTATAAAAGCCAACTTGCAAATACAAACTTCCCTCTATTTTTACCATCCTGTGTCAGTAAGTACTTCTTCAGTTGTGAATATTTATGCTCTTCTCAGAGAAAACAATCTTTATTTCAACAGCAGTGATGTGTTTTCTCCTTTTCTTTCCCATTGTTTATCATCACAGTGACAATATAAAGTCAGGTGAAAGGTGTGGGGCTTGGGGACATAACTGGGTGGAGAATTTAAGGTTCACAGGCAATGTCCGTAACTCAGTACGTTATGCCAGAAGTCTTACAGAACCAGACGCTTTCAAACTTCAGACAGCAAGGTGATTAATGAAAGCTTTCTGATACTGTCAAGGCGGTCTTCGTTCCTACACCTCTGCAACAGGGGGTCTGTCTTCTCTTATGGTCACAGGTTCCCTGACCTCTATACTTAACCCATTCACGTGCAGAATTCAGCATCACATCCAACTGCTGTGCAATTTGAACTCTAATGTGAAGGAGAATTCAGCAGTCTTACCTCTGAACTAGGGTCCCAAAGATAAGACGAAGAAATTTCTGCATGTTTTCAGTACATAGCCATTTCCACTGTTCCATTAGCAGCAAGAGGAGCAGATCCAGGGCTGTGTCGGCTAACTCTGTCTCTGTTCCTGAGGGAGGCAAAGACATCAGGAGTAGAGACCCATACTCATCGTTCGTGTACTGGGCGGCACCTGGGTCTTTTCCACCTTCACGTTGTACCTTTGTAACCCCTCTGCCCTCAAATCAAGAGATGTCACTTTGCATCTAGAAATTTCAGTGATAGGCTCTGTATTTCTTTACAATTCTTCTGTGTTCCTGATATTGTCACCTAGTAAGTATTTCTATGGTTAAAAAATTTTTGCATATAATTATTTTGCCTACTTAGCTTCTGTTTCTTCAATATTTCCCCAGGATGCTGAATATGTTCTGTTCCAAGCAAGAACTCACAACTAGTGAGCAACTAGAACTGGCAAGGCCTAGTCTCTCCCATCCTTGCATTCCACTCACCCCCAAAAAGCATCACAGAAACGCTGTGGGCAGATGTGGGCTGACTTGAGCTTCATTCTCCTGCAAAACCTTGCTTTGAAAGCGCCTCCATTACACAGTGCTGCTGGGTTTGGATTCAGGAGGCTTTAGGTTGATTTCAAGATAACGTGCAGTTCTAGGAAGAACGTCACAGCTCCGGTAAATGCCACGATAATTACTGATTTCTTTCCTGTTGTGAAGGCTGGAAGGGCCACAAATGAGCTTATACCCCATGTTAAGCTGAAGTTTTCTGAATAAATGCGTTTTATGGAGGGAAGCATCTATTCCCTAAATCTGTTTTGGGAGTCTCGTATCATTTCTGATTTGCTTCTGGGGAGACTTCACCAGGAGTATATAATGTTCCAGAATGAATCTGAGATAGCTGGTGCTTTTGCTGTATTAGTACTATAGTTAATCATCAGTAATGACTGGGTTAGTCTAGGACTAGCAAGTGTTCTCTGGGCCAGCATGCCCAAACTATCCTCTTTTAAGGGTTCTTTAGAACGTGAATGACTTCAGATTTGGACAGATCTACTAGAACTGAACCATACTTCCCTCTTAATCATCTCTCCCTTACATTTCCAGGGGCATGGGACGGATAGGCTGTTTGCTTTCTAGCCATCTGCTCAAAGATGGGATTTCCTGCTCTTTGGGAAACAGCATCACCCTGAGCCTTCGTCATCCTCCTCAGTTCTGTTACTTTCTCAGGTTTAGCATTTGCAACTGCCACCATGTGGTAACACTTAGTCATAGCAGTAAAAAATAAGAAAGCAAACAAGGTACCACCAAGTCGTCTTGAAGAAAAGGGGAAATTTTCTATCCCACGAGCATTCTGAGTTGCTCAGGGCTAGAACATAGGCTCAGGCATAAACTATCCCTTTAGAAAAGAGACATGACATTCAACATTTACAGGCTTGATTTTGGCTAGAAGGATATTGTTTGACCCACCCCACCTTATACACAATCTTTTAGAGTTCTCTGATGTTTTCACTGCCATCCTGGCTTCAGTAACCAGTGAGATCCAAGTGAAGGGATGGGGCTGTCTAGCCCATTTTTTACACACTTAAATTGAGGTCCACAGAGCATAGGTGATTTGTTCATGGGCACCCGAGAGACAGTGGTGAAATCAGCTTTTATTCCTCTTCTGAATCCAAGATCTTGTGATCTTACAGTCTAAGCAGAGGCCTCCGTCTTGAAATTGATAAACTCTTTTTTTAATTTCTAGTTCAGCAAACATACCAATTAATATCCAGGGCTCTGAATTTTTCCTCTACAGAATACATCTGCCCTTCTTTTCCTGGGAAGCAAACCTGCCCTCCCTCTCATATTAATATTTATAAGGAGGGAGTAGGACCTTTACCTCTTCTCCCTCTCTGCTCACCCTTGAGTAACTAGGTGGTATCATCTGCCATGATAGTAAATAAAGAAGAGGAAGAGATACACCGAAAAAGATGAATTTCATTTTGAACACGTTATACTTCAGTTGCCCTATGGTATATTCAAGAGGAGATAACATCAAATATTTAAGCATCATCGCACATGTGTTAGGGTTCAAAATAACAGTACAGGTGGGATCAATGGGGAGAGTGTGCAGAATAACAAAGAGCCAAAAATCCAGCTCTGGAAGGAGGATAAGGGAGCCAACACAGCAGATTGAGAAGGGGCCACAAGGAAGGCAGAAAGAGAACCAGGAAAGTGGTGTCACAGATACTAAAGGAAGAAACTTTCTGGAGAATGGCAGAAGTCTGATATGCCAAAGCATGATAAAAATACCTTTGATGAGATATCAGAGTTATAAGCATGGATCTCATCCTGCTGGATTAGAACTCTCTGTGTTCGTGCCCTGATCCTCTGCTCGACTGAGCTCTGGGGATGGTGTCCTGCTCATCCCCGTACCCTAGCACATCACCTCCAACACTGGAGTTCAAAACCTGACTCGCTCAGCCGAACAGAACAGAAATTAAAGCTACAAAGTCCAACTATCCCAAGTCCCAAGTAAACTTCACTCTGGCTCCCTTTGCTGTGGGAGCAGAGACCTGGCCACTTACCTAGATCACTGTTTCTGAGATCTTGGGCCGGCATGGCTGCATGTGACAAGTAACTGTCCACATATCCTTTGGGGATTTGTTCAGCATCTTTTTCTGGGACTTCTGCCGGCTGCATTTCCAGTAACTTTGTCTGTTTTTCAATAAAGGATAACATCCCAGACGTGGATAGGATCTCTGACTCCTGAAGAAGCAGCCAGTGGCACATCACATAAAGAACGTAGACAGGAGGGCAGCAAATGCAGTGCTCTAGGTTTCCCTGTCTCTCCCCTGTAAAAGTACCATGGCTACAGAACCCCACTGAATCTGTGACTACTTTAGGAAAGGTTTTATTTTTTACCCAAGTTGCAAGTCAAACAACCCTGCCCTGGGATTCTGGGATCACTTGTGCACATGTTTTTGGGTCATCTGTTCTCTTCCCACAACTGGCTTTCTTTCTCATGTTGTCATTTAGTCTCCCAACCCACCACCCTTGAGAAGCCAATCTGCCAACCCGGAACTGGTAGGAATTCCAAACTGCCCAAGAGAAATTTTTTAGCATAAAAATTAGAGATCCAGATGTTAATTAAGTCCTTTAGCAGAACCCTTCTGACTTTAGAGAATATCTCAACTGCCTATAACTGCAGAATCAACTTCCCAGATCTTAATGCCTCAAATTCTCTAGGCTTTGGTTCTTACCACATTGGCTTCCTGGAGACAATAGAGAATCTTGTCATGTGCTTCAGTCACACTTACTGCTGGAGCAATTTTACTGGATGAGAACCTCAGTCTGGACCTGGTACAGAAACAAAAAGTAGAAACAGAATGTAATTCGTGGTCTTGATCCCCATACAAGCTGGCAAGTATTGATAATACCTTAAAACAATAGCACCCATGCTTATTCCCATGCTTATTCTTGGGAGCTTACTGTGGTCAGAGTTGCCAGCAAAGACTTGGCCCTGAAATCCCCCAAAAAATATATATTCTGGCTCTGAATAGATAGTGCAACTTACACTAAGCTATAACTATAGTGCACTTGTGAAAGGGTGCCAAATAAAATAGGGACCGATCTGTATCGTGGTTATACTCCCACAGGTTAGAAGAGTGGCTAGCACACACTAGGCATTAACTAAAAATTTGTTGAAGATTAAACAGACAAGTGGCATAGACCAAGTGTTTTTGTTATTGTTGTTGGTAGTGTACCCTTATTGGTACCCATTTATCCCCCTTATGTTCAAATAAAACCAGAGAAGAAATTACAACATTGAAACCTGATAACTTCAACGTTTCAAGGAATAGGGGACTTGCAGGCACAGGCATCATGGTCACCCATCAAAATATGGGCCCCGGTAAAAAGGCAAAGTACTGTGAATCTTTCATTGCTGGGCCATGAAACGTGGGCACAGAGACAAAGACAGACGGGGTCAGAGATGCATGCATACACACACACATACACTCCCCCTCTCTCTCCTTCATGATGACCCAGATATAGGTGAAATTTTCAGTAAGGGTAAGTGTGGTGCCATGCCTTCCACATGTTAGCTTTGAACGCTGCCAGAGAACAGCTGGGACCCTAGTGTGGCAGAGTAGCAGTAGCCAACCAGTTACTAAAATAGGCCCTGCAAGTTTCCATTCTAGCCCTTTGCTGTTTATTGCTAGTATATGCAAATTCTGAGCCAAGATTTCCAGAAACGATGGCAAATAGAGATCAGTTATATGCCTTAATCCTCAGTAGGAAAGAAATATCTCTATTTTCCAGGAAAACAGAAAAGAGAATATCCATATTCCAGAGTTTTCCTTCTAGTCAAAAATCCCAAGTCGGCTGGGCCCTGGGTTTCCGTGGCAAGAGCAAACAGTCAGCAGTGTTTCCTCTGCAGCATCTCAGGCTCCTCCGGGTGGAGCACTGAGGAGCCCAGGGTCTGGCTTTGCCTAAAAACTGGTATATATGACCTGTCTCCTCTTCTAGGGCTTGAGAAGGAGGGTGAGCTTCGACTGAGGATTGGGGAATCAACCTGAGAATTGAGGAAGGGGCCCTGGGTGACTGGAGGGCTTCTTACTTGCTAGCCTTCTTGCCTTCTGTCTGAGGCTTGCTTTCAGTCTCAGCCTCACTCAGCTCCTCTGTAGGGCTCTGGGGTTCAGAGCGAGGAAATGCTGTCTTCAAGGTATCCACGATAGCGCTCACCACTATCTGCAGGGGTCAGAGGTACAGGGTCAGTAAGGCCATTCACAGCCCCAGATGGAAACCCCCAAACGAGCAGTCATCTCACAGCATTTTATGCAACAGGACAAGGACAGAGTCAGGTTGTCTAGCAGAGCCTTGTCCATCAGGAAAGTCAAATACCAGTTGATGACTTAGTGACAACCATCCTCCCTTTTCTCTATGGCCATAAAATTCTTCTTCCTCAAAGAGTAAAACAAACAGTGGCATGGGAAAAGAAGCCAAAACAAACAGTGAGATAAATCAAAACCTAGGAGATCTGCGGGCTGGTGAAGTCCTTTTCATTTCAACTTTTTTCTTTTTATATAGAAAAGTGATTTCAATTTCTAAATTGATAATACCTTCCCCAAGCTGTGAATAAGTAAAATATAGGTAGGAATATAAAGAGAAAAGGAAGAGTGAAGATGACAATCAAAAATAAAAAATACAGTCTAGGGCATATATAATATAAACGTGCTTAGAGTAATTCATACAACAAAGAACTGGTTTCTCTAGTCAATTCAAACAATTTGTCTTCATGAGGTAAAGAAAGAATAACAAAAACCTTCAGGTCAAAATTAAGGTATCAAGAGTTGATAGAAACTTCTCTACTCATAAAGACCAGACGAAATAATCTTCATTAAAGAATAAGAATTAACTATATTTCTGAGAATGGGAAAATGGCACACAGATACTTGCTAAAAAGGAAAACATACAAACAAATGAAACCCTAAAATATCACAGAAACAGAATGAGACATTTACTTTTCCTTTGGTGCCTCTTGCTAGTTAACACTGCTGGCTCAGAGCAACACCATTCCTCCCTTAACTCATTCTCCTGGTGTTCCCCCAGCAAGAGCACAGCTAGCACAGCTAATATGGGGCCGAAGTGGTCAGTAAGACTATAGTAAAGACCAGGGAGGGCCAACCAGGAATGAACGCAGAGGGTGGCATAAGTATAGATAAAGTGGCTTTGAAAATATGACTTGCTCTCTAGGCTCACAGAATTGTAGTTTGTAGGGGTTGGGGGGGGTGTCCTCATCTGTCTTGGCCACTCTTGCATCACCAGCAACTAGTGCAGTGCCTGGCTCAAAACTGCCATCCAATAAAGTAGATGCTGAAAGAATCAACGAATAAACACATTTACATGGAACTGGGGAGGTTTTACCTTAGTTGATCCCTTTCAAGTTTGCAGTTTTTTCCACATAGCAATGGATGTCCTCTAAAACCTACCACTGAAATTATTGTGTCCCCTCAAGCCCATATGAGAAGAGGGAGGACCCTCTTCTGCCAATGAGTCAGGATTTCCCAACCCTGTAGAATACATTCCATCTTTTGGTAAACATAAACCTCACACTTCTGCCTCAGACTCTAGTATCAGTTGGTGATCACTGCTTACAGGCCCCAGATATGTTTCACAAATGTCCTTCTACCATCTCCACAGGTGCTGAGACACCCCCTTGAAGAAGGTACAATTCTCTCTACACTCTTGTCTCCTGCAAAGAATCACTACATCAATCGAAGTCTAGCCTAGCGTCTTCTCTTAGGGCTCTCTTTCCTGTGTGACAAAAACTGGGAATGACCTTTACCTCCAGTTAGCAACCCCTCACACCCACCCCCGGTCAGCCATCTATGAAGATACAGATCTATCCTCACATGGCTCCACTAGAATAACAGTATCATGATACCCTCTGGAGATATGCCTACACCTACGTGTCAGGGGTACCATTTCCCAACAGTTATTCACCAGGATTCAGCAAGTTGATGATTCAGCCACTATCTGGCAGCAGGTCTTGAAAATTCTAGTCCACGTTCTATTGACCCCTCTGTGCTGTCCCTCCCCACGCACAGCCTCTTATTTTTCGAGTACTGCCTCCATTCTGATGAATACCCCACATTTATAGGTAGAAACTAAAGCGGAGCACTGTGGTCCTGCTGGTACCTTGTCTATTCTGGAGACCATGAACGGTTTCTTGACGAAGGCAATACGAGCGTCTGTGTTCAGAGCGAGGAACTCCTGCACCTCCTCACTGTTAGCGATCTCAGGAATGGCACAGAGTTGCTGCAAAAGTAAGACACGCCAAAAAATTTTAAAGAGAAATTCCAATCCCCAGATGTCTCCACCTTGTCTTGGCTGTCTGCGGGTTAGAATGAGAGCAAAGCCAAAACAGGAGGATGCTGACCTTTAAGAATGATTCCAGAAGGCTCTTACGGGCTTCCACTCTGTCACTATCCATGTTTCCAAATGGAAGATCTGGAAAGAGCTTTTTAGGACCCTTCACATCTTTAAAAAAGAAAAAAAATTCATTCAATATTCACAGAGAGCTATTCCACATAAACGTATAAGCAAATCAGAATTATTGAATCTATTTCCTTGTATTTTTTTTTCTTTCCACTTCAGGAACTCCAAATATACCCTAGGGGTATGATGCATACAACACTACACTGGTTACAAGTGAGGGCTTTGAAGTTCAATGGCCCAAGTTTAAATTTTGGCTCTAATCCCTACTACAATGATGACCATAGGCAAGTTGTGTAATCTTTCTGTGACTTCATTTCTTTTCTGTAAAACGGGGATAATGACAGTATCTATCTCATAAGCTGTTAGGAAGATTAAATGAGTTAATAGGTAAAGTACTTAGAAGAGAACCTTGCATATATTTTCAATTTTAGCTTAATATCAACTACTGTTATTAAGAAATAAAATGCATAATTTTATGTCCAAACATGTTAATATGTTTGTAGGATCATCAGCATTTTTTTAAAACACAGTAGCTGGTTACTAGCTTACTTTTAGAGTTAAATTTTATTACAATTTAAAATTTTCCCTTGTGCCTGAGAGGTGTCAAACAACATACAAAAGGTCTATCTGGTCGTTAAAAGCAAGTGGCAAGAACTTTGGCATATTTTAGTATTTAAGAGTCATCAATCTACGCATCTGGAAAAGCTAATTTAACTCCTCATACTACTGTATAGGCACAGGTGGAAATGTAAACATTTCTTAAAACTTAAACCAGATGGGGCTCCAGAAGAAAGCACGTAGTGGCAAAGGACCACCTCAGAACGTGATCAGTGCTGCCCAGCACTAAAACACAAAACTCTGCAGGCAAACTTGGGCAGCAGAGACCTGCAATGCTGCGTCCTCCATCCCTCCCCCCAAACCAAGAGGCCACCAAGCTCTCGGATCAGGGTGGCAAGATGTGAGAAGGAAGGAGACAGCACAGGGCTGGGGAAACTCCTGACTTTTGATGAACTTTCGTAGATCCGGTTTCTCCTCTAGACGCGTCTGCAGATTCAAGAACTCCCGGTAGCGGCGATTCACAGTGTGGTAGGCCAGCTGCTGCAGGCCGCTGCTGTTCTCACCGTCCAGGGCTGTCTCGTACTATTGAATGAACAAATATGTTGACCCAATCAGCCAGGGTTAGGTAATCTTCTATTCTGGCTTTAATGACTACGTGTTCAATGGCCACACAGGAAGAGGAGAGTAGGGATAAAGGAAGGGAGATGTTCCTATTCTGTTCCAGAACCTCCGACATCTGATTGCTGACCTGAGTTGTAGCGAATAACTCAAACTCCAGTGGTTACTGAATTAAAGTATGAGTTGTATTTCTTCGTATATGTGGCCCAGAAATCTGAAGTTTTATTGCTCCCCACTACTATTTTCATCTGAAAGCTCCCTCTCCTAGATACTTTCTTTATTCACAAAAATAGCTACGTAACTATTTTTCAAATTCCCAAGACTGAGTATAAAACAGAAGGCATAACACCTATAAAAAAGCGGTACCTCTATTACCCCTAAATTACAGCGCTAGACATTATAAGGGGAAAACAATTCTGCTACTACACTCAACCAATGACTATCTCTATTAGTTGGGGAAAGAACAAATAATCCAAACAGCAGACAAACAAAAATCATTTGCTGGCCTGGAATAAATTAAAGGGGCATTTGTTTTTGTTTTGCTTTAGGCAGATTAATCTGCCTAATTGTTATTCTTAAAGCTAAGGAAATTTTCTTCCTGAGTACACATCATCTGTATTATTAGAAGTCATGTGAAGACTGGAGATGTTATAAGGGGTCAAAGTCCGCTGCCTTCTGCAGCCTTGGAGGGCGGATATGTGGGCATATTCCCCAAACAGCGAACACCATGAATGGCATGGAAGCTGCAACTCGGTACATGGGAAGACTTTTGACAGAGTAGTTAGGATACAGTGAAATGCTGTGGGCAAAATATATATGTAATCCTTTCTATTGTTTGGTTGAGGAATTGTACTGTGGGCACATGATGGGAAAACCTATCTCCTAGTTGGTGGGACTCAAGGCTGGTGTTTAAAAATTTTCTAGAGGCAGATAGGGTAAGGTATTCATTATGAGCTGATATGAGCAAAATAGTTACTTAGAACAGTACTGAGAAGGAAAGACTGAGATGAGAGGGACAGGTGGAATTCAGGGTGGGGCTCTCAGACCTGAACCACCTGGGAATTACAATGCTTTCTGTCGAATATTCTGTTCCTTGAGGGATAATATTCAATACTAATATGTTCATTTCCATCACAGAAAACTGTTTTACTATCAGAATGTATAATATTGACATACAAATTAAAATCATAATTACAATATGTCCATATAAAAATCTAAACCCAATCTCAAACTCGAACAATTGGCTATATTCCTTTGTTCTCACATTTCACTTTACCCCTTTCTAATGTTTACTTGGAGTAAGTAGTAGCAGATGTCAAAATTTAGCAACAAGAAAGAAAAAAGAATAACAGAAGAAAGACTATGAACTTAAAAATTCTATCCATAAACTTAATTTTTCTGCTAATGAGGGGGAAAAAACTGTTGTTTAATATCAGTGTTGGAATATGACATAAATAGAAGATGAAATAACCAGAAGCCAACACTTATACGTGAAAAAGGTGCATGTCATAGGGACACCCAGAATTAAAACAAAAATGCAGGTACAATTTTAACAAAGTTGTATCAGTCCTTTGAGACTAGCCTCAGTTATTTTATGACCAGACATCTGTGCTTCTAAATCTTACCTATTTTGCAAGGGGAGTAGGTGTGTGCATGTGTGTGTTTCTAATTATTTCCATTCTGTCTTATTTGAAAATGTCATAATGTTCCTTTCTGAAATGTGAGGTGATGCTGCAGCTGTGTTCAGCAGACCAGGGAAGGCCCCTTCCCTCTTACTTGGATGGGGGTTTCATGGGGAGGAGTACAGCACCCAGGCTTGTGCCTGGTGGTAACTTTTGCACTCAGAATGAGATAAATTCAAGAAAGCAAGTAAAATCCAATGGAAAGGATCTTGCCCAGGAATTCTCTTTCCAAACTTCTTCCTTGCTAATTTCTTTCTTTTTAAAAATACTAGTATCTTTCGTACTTTGTTTTAGGAAGGTAGGTTATTTACCTAGATTTGCCTTACAAGGTAGCAAGTTCCTCATTCTCAGAGGTGTTTAAGCACAGAATTGAGAACCACTTGGCAGAGATAACTTGAAGAGGGCTGGTTAGGTTAAAGCAGCAGTTCCTGGCAAATGGCCTTAGGACAGGCTGCCTCCATGCTACCTGGAGAGTTCCATATTTAAAAAAATACAGAATCCTGGGACCCATCCTTGGAAATTCTCATTCAGAATTTATCAAAGTCTGTCAGAATCTGTATATTTAAAAAGCAACCCAAGTGATTTTGAGGTGCAGTCAAGTTTGGGAACCCCTGAAAAATATCATCCTCAGTATTCCAATAACCCTGAGGTTCTAGGATTGTCCTGTACGAGTACAGGGTAAGAGCCTACTCTGCCTAACAAATTAGCTTCAGATCATTCACATATAGATGCTTGTTGAATTAAACATTGCAAACTAATAAGAGACGTCTCTCCCCTTGAGAACATTAGCTTCACTGACTCTGCTTTCCAAACCCATTCCCAGCCCAGAGTGGGTGCCTGCAGCTTTAATCCTTTACCTTCACAGTGTAGAGCGTGTATGGGTGGAATCCAGTGCCACTGTGCTCTCGGGCAGTAATGGTGCCAGTGATACGAAGGTTCTGGATGACAACTGGGCCATCGGGACTGCTCAGGGGCTCAAAGCTGAAAGCTGAATTAAGAGGGCCAGGTGGAGAGGAGGAAAGCAAAACCGGTGGCAGACTAGGATCGAGGGAGCTCACATCATTGGTGAGATCCTTCTCTAAGCATAAGGGTCGTGGAGGGCAGGTCTTTTCTGGCCCCTCCAGCAAAGCTGTAAGAGAGGTGACATCTCCTTGCTCTACCTCCTTGTCTGCTGTGTCAATCTGGATCTCAGGGCAGGAGTTCAGCATGGAGACCAGCAGGCCTGTCTCTGTCTCTGTCCTTGGCCCCTCCTCAGCTTCTGCTCCTTCGATGCTTTCAGATCCCTCACCATCCTTAGGCTCTAGAGCCTGGGAACCCTCTAGGGCACACAGGGCATCCTGAATCCTGTCAGAGAGGAAGTTGCCTGGAGTCATGAGCATGATGGTTTCTTTGCCCAGTTCAGACAATGGAGAATCCAGCTCTGAGTCTTCGCATAAGAACAAGGGGCCTCGAATATCTGGTTGTAGGAAATGAGATAGGTTGTTTCCCATTTTTCTTTCTTCAGACATCCCACCCAAATCTCCCTCTACAGCTTCATGGCCTTCTTCAATCTCTGGGGAGCGGCCTGAAGGCCCCTCTGTCTCACTGCAGTTTAGGAACACTGGGGCTGCTACTGGAGAAGGGGCTCTCCCTCCTGGCAGATGTTCTGCCTCAGCAATCAGTGGCAGAGATGTGGGCACTGAGGGCTGTTCCAGGGCCCTGGATGTGCAGAGTGGTTTAGCCACTTGTGCTGGATTTCTGGCCTTGGAAAAGATACCTACGACTATGAGGTGGATCCAGTCAGGATCTGACAGTCTGTTGATCAGTGGTAAGATTACATTGCAAGTAATGAGCTCCACCACTACGTGGCGTCCAGTCCGAGTCTCCAAGTGGGGCTTGGGCACTAGCCCTTGCAGTAACAAATTCACAATGCCACGTGTGTAGGTGACCTCAGCACTGGGGCTGTGCACAGCAGGATGTGGGGCAGTGGCCTGGCAGTAGGCTTCCCAGAGCTGGGATGGCTCGACTGGACCACTCTGCTTTCCTGCAGTGGCCTCCTTTGCCTGAATGTAGCTCTGCAGGTGACAACCACACAGAGTCAGAACACTCTGGGCAACAGCATGACTGTCTACCATGCTCATCCTCCTCCGAAGCTCCTGGACCAACCCTTTCATGGCTGCCTCCATCTCTTTCTCGAAGGCTGGCTCCTGGCTCACTGAATGGTACCAAGATAACACAAAATCCCGAATAATCATCTGGATGGTGCAGTTGATCTCCTGTTCTAGCTGCCTTTCTGCCTCAGGACACGGAGGGCAGGTGGCCACTGGGATGAAGCGTTCTAAGTGCAGTCGACCTGAAGCCCCTGCAATGGCGCTGGAGCCCAGCCATCCTCCCAGAACCACTAGCAATGCAGATAGAAGGCACAGAAGCCACACATTGACCAGAAGGTGGATAACCAGGAGCCAGCCGAGCAAGACTCCCACAGCCATCAGCTTCCGACTATTCAACAGATTACTGAGATTAGAGCTGGACTCAGCTGGGGTGTCCTGAAACGGGGGCACTGTCTCTGCCTTCATGGCTGAACGGGCAAGGTGACTTCCTCAGATGACAGTCTTCTTTCTATTTTATTTCTGCGTTAGGGAGAGGGACATGGACTGTGTCCCAGACAAGAGGAAATAGGGATGCTACTCAGGGATCCAGGGCTCTGGGCCCTCGAAGTCCTATAGGCACTGCAAAGAGACAGCGGCAGCTCTGCCTCTCCCGCTGGCTATCACCAACAGAGACCTCGAACTAGTCCCTTTCAGCAGAGACGCTGCTTTCGAGGAAAACTCTGCGGCCTTCATAACGCCAAGGGCGGAAAGCCTCTTCGCAGCCTCAGGGAAGGCGATGCAGGGCCCTCGGTCCCCCAAACACTTACAGACGCCGAGGGCAGCGGCCGGCCAGGACTGGGTTACACGCCGCCGGGAGCCGCGCGCCCTGACTGAGCCCCGACCTGGGGCGGACTCACTGGGATCCCCCACGCAGGCCTCGGTCCGCAGCCACCGCTGGACCAGGCTGCCCCGGCGACTGCGCTCTGCAGCTCCGGATCTATCAGGGCTGCCGGCCGGCCGCCCGCCGGCGACAACTTCCGGGTTGACGTCGACGCGAGCGAGGCACGCTGGGAGAGCGACCGCGCTCCCGGAGGAGCGGCGCTTGCCCGGCGCCCTCTGGTGGTGGGAAGCCGCCGTGCGGCTCTGCGCACACTGGGCTGAGGACCTGAGCGCGCGCAGAGAAGAGCGTGTGCTCGCCAAGGGAGGGCACAAATTCCCAAAGTACAACCAAACGGAAGGCGGCCTTGCGGCAATCACCTGCGACGACTCAGTCTTCTAGACCCTTTAAAACGCGTCTCAGCTCTAATTATTAAATGAAGTCTGCGGACATCCCTTACTGCTTGGGCGCACTCTCAATAATCCAATTTATTTTTATCCCATGGGGGCATAGTTTCATTGGCCTGATGGATTTTAAGGTACACCTGCTTGCCCCAGAGCCCGCCCCCAAATGCAGCCCACCTAACTTGTGCTCAGGAATTGCAGAATACAAGACATAAAACATAACACAGAGATAAAGTTATTCCTTAAATTTCATATACTGCATCTCAAAATCAACTTTGTGATTTGTGGTTATTTGCTGGTGACATTACCCAGGCAATCAAATACTTTGAGCATCTGCTATGTTCAATGACTGTGAGAGGTAGAGTGGAGGAATAGAAGCAGTCCCTGTTCTCAAGGAATTAACTGCTAATTGGGGAGTCCAGTTCTTTGAACACAACTGGATATCTCATCATGCAAATCAGTATGGGATGCAGGAAAATAAAAACCTTAAAGGTATTCAAAGGAAAGAAAGATTACCGTGAGTTGCCGTGCAGTGGTTAAGGGGGGCCTCAGAGAGAAAGTAGCCTTTATATTAGATCTTCAAGAATAAGGATTTTTTTTTTTCTATTCACCTCCATCTCTTCTTCCCCTTTCTTCCCCAAATACATAGGCAAGGAAGGCAGAAGAGGAGGTGCGTTTTCAGATAATCCTCTAATGTATTTGCTTTGGAACATGCTCTGTGTTTGATTGTTTTCGGTTTTAGAAAATTTGCCTTCAGTTGTTTACACAGACAGAATACTTATAGGAAGATTAAATATCTGACATCGGTAGCATGGACCATGTGTAAAAGTAGTTTTGTCAGTTTTGTATGAAACCAGCTTCCTTCCCTGCCTTAGTCCCTAGGAGTTCTGTCTGCAATGCGGCACTCCATTTTATTTTGGCACAGGACATACACCATTTGCACAGAGCTGCTCACGTGGGCCCATCTCAGCATTCTCTAGGCTGTAAGCAGTGTCTCTTCAATATAGCACTACTCCCTAAATGTTTAAAGGAAACTTCAGGCAAATTGCAACCAAAAATTGTGCCAATAAGAAGTGCATTATGGCTTCTTTTCTCATCTCCATTTCTGCTGTTGGTGCAAAGATTTCTTTTGAATGCAAAAGGAACCAACATTTAATCACTTCTGAAGCAAGTGGTTTTATTCCACCAGGCAGACTGGGCACACTCCTGGGACCCCAGAACGCATGTTTGTGTTTTCATGGTTCACATCACTCTACTGCTTTCTGTCTTCCCACAGAGAAGGAACATGAGACATGGGCTCTGCCCCCTTTGCCTTCCCAGACCATTCTATTGTCCCTGGGAGCACTTAGAAGATGACAATAATGCTCTGGAGAAACATGTGTGCCACCTAGTTGGGAACTAAAATAGAAACGTGAATGATGAAAGGACTAATGACCATGCTGAAGACTTCCTGTGCCAGTTCAGTGAGAAAGTTCACTCTGCAGCATGATGTGCAGGGCGGTAAGAAAATGACCTTGCAAGTGGGCACTGTGCCACCTGTCCAGATGGTCTAGAGCATGGAGGTAGCCAAGAGTGCCTTCCTGATTCTGAAGTGGATTTGACGGACATGCCGGTGCACTTGTCATTTGGACTGGCATGAGCTTCTGCCTAGGGTCCTGGGCAGGTGCTGGTCTCCAAACAGATCAATCACTGAGAGGAGAGAGTGCCAGGGCTGATGTGTGGTGGTGTGTGCATGTGCGGGAAGGCAGGGAGGCTGGCTGTTTGGCCACACCACCCACCACCTCCCAAGGTCCTTCCTTCTTTCCTGCTTACCATTCATTTCGCACAACATTAAAGGATAGTGCTAGAGTGTTGGGGATAACAAGACAAATAAGATACACTCATTCATGTCAAGGGACTCTCAGTTGACATAAAGAAGAGAAACACATAAATAGATAAATGGAATTAAACATCTGATGTGTTATGACAATTGCAATAGAAGTAAGTACAATAAAATGGGAACACAAAGGAGGGTCGGTCAACGGGGGAACTGGGTGGCTCATACAAATTTTGCCCCACGTTGGGAAATGAAAAAGAAGTAAGTAAGTGTATTTTAGGAAAACGTAGGGCAGAGGGAGCAGGGAGCGAAGGGACAGAAGGTCTTTTAGGCAGAGGCATGTGCTTGTGAAACAGGCAGGGGCGAGGAGGGCTGAGTGCCGTGCTGGAATCAGCACTTACCACCCCTCAATTTTCCCTCAAAGATAGAAGACAAGGTAGCCTACTAAAGAGAGGGCAGTGATGTGGCAGGTTAGTGAGGAGAGGAGGAATTATCGCTGTGAGAAATAGAAGAGCTAATGAAGGTCATGTAAGAGAACAAAGAGGGACTGGGGACCTTGCTGAGGTTAGAGATTATGAATTTGTCGTGGCACCAATCCACATTGTTGAGTTATTCTCTCCAGAGGTGTTTTGTATCCTCAGTATAGGAGAGAATTAAGCAGGAGGAAGGTCTGTCGTATGCTAGCAGTGTCAGGGTAGATGAAGTGAAAGGAGAAGAGGTTAGGACCAAGAGGTTAGGACCGTCACATCCTGAGAAGAGTATTGTTAAAATTTAAAACCACGGTGTCTAGATGTCTGGGAAGGAAATGAAGCCAGCAGCAGGAGAATCAACTGTGAGAAGAAGACCAAGTGTGCTGGGAGAGAGTGAGTGAGCCAGAATAAAACAGGTTTGTGGTTAAGGATTGGTCGGAGTCTGCAGTGGGTCAGCAGGGCTATGTTCCTCCCGGAGGCCCTAAGCGAGAATCTGGTTTCTTGCCCTTTCCTGCGTCTAGAGGTCACCTGTGTTCTTCGGCTCATGGCCCCACATGACCCCACCTCTGCTTCTGTTGTCACATCCTTTTCTCCCACTCTGACCCTACTTCCTTTTTCTTTCACCTACCATTCCTGCTCACAAACTACTGTCCTCAACTTGATCATTTAGTCACACTTAGCTGCAAGGTAGCAATGATTCCAGCTAAAATTCACAGTGTTCTACTACTAAAAAGAAGAAGGAAAGAATATATATTGGGTACAGTTAGCAGTCTCTGCCGCCCATATGGATTGGAAATAAGAAACCAAACTCATCTGTTCTAGATACAATGACTTGTCTATAATTTACTGACAAGTTATTAGAAATAATGATAGGGTTTATCTAAGTGACTGGCTAAAGAAAAATACATAGAAATTATTTACATTTC